TTCATACTTCCGCATTGAAAGAACGGTTGGTCTTAAAATCACTGAAGTATTTGCCTTCACAAAAATAATTATAATAAGTATGGATACTCCAAGAGCAGAATCTGACGACTATCAGTTTTGAGGATAAGTTCCGCCTCTTCCATGTAATTATTTCTTTTTTCACTATTTTTCTTTTTTTGTCAAATATAAATTACTTGAGCCCTGGTGGCTCAGGAGATAGAGCGCTCGCCTTCCAATGAGGCGTTAAATGTCCTCAGTGGTGGACTGATCATGAGTTAGAGTCCCCTTGCATCAGGCCTACCGTGGGAGGTTTTCCTCTCCCTGTAGCACGAATGCGGGTTAGTTTCATCAAAAAGTACTCCACGAGGGCAAATTTCTCCCAATATTTGATTCGGTAGTTCCCTCTGGATTGGGTTCAAAATTACAAGCAACGTAGTTGAACTTTAGTAGTCGTAAACCCAAAATTGGGTCGGTTGTTCAAAATAGTTACTAAGAATATAAATGCGAAGGATTAAAAAAGAAATAGTAAAAATATTAAAGTTTGTATGTTACTGCTAAACTGTTGAAATCTATTTCACAGATTGTTATAGGGAATAAATTTTTTTTTGAATTTATACCAATACTTGATCTTGACTCATTCGATGGTGGGAATTTCAAATCTAAAACTAGTTTTGCTCCCAAAAATATATAACATTTTTTAAAAAAAATGACGTACTTAGTCTACTTTTTGTCAAAATGTGTAAGTTTAAAAACGGTAGATATAACAGAGGGTCACAAATGTTGCAAGAAACATCTAGGGGAGTTTGGGTACATAATCAGGATTAAAATTGTACATAAACGCATGCCTAGAAATGTTGACTCGCACGGCGAGACGCTTCTCTATTGTGGCCTGTTCAGAAGCACCCAAAGAAACAATTGATAATAGGAAAATGTCACTAGCGGCGCATGACAACATATCCGGCCATGAGTTCTTATGCAATTTTAATCTTGATGATGTGCTCAGACTGCTTTAGAAGTAACATTTATACAATCCCTTGTTATATATAATGTTTTTAAACACACATTTCGACAAAAAATAGACTAAAAATGTCACATTAAAAGAGCTGTCGCTTGGTGAGGGAAACTGGTCGCCGATTTGAAATCAACGATGCGGAAGTATCTGTTAAAAAATATCTGTTAAAAATAATCTGTTAAAAAATATGTATATCTGTTAAAAAATATATGCAATAAAAACAAAAAAATATTTCACCAGCGTTATTTAGTTAGTGCTTAGATTAACTATAGTGATCCGTTAACCGCTAAAGTGCCAAAACATTTCTCAAATCGCCTAAGTAATCAGCAAATTACCTAAATAACCTGTACATAAGCACATAACCTATCAGGCTCCCACTGAAGGAAAAACAAAATCTTTGCTGAAAACGTAGTAACGATTCTGTATGATTAAATTGACATATTATATTCCCGATGTCCAAAAAATGAAGAACATTAGTTGATAGAACATTAATCACACAAAAAACTATAATACAAAAAAATCAAACTTTTTAAAATGTTGTAGCAGTCTAGGAAATTAACATGCCATTTATTTATATTTCAATATGTAAAGAATAAAATCAAAAAATTTAATCAACAGATTAATTTATAGAATTAAAGAAATAAATTTTAATTAAACAGAAACAGTTAACCCGCACATTTAGTATACTGCAAAAAAGTAAAATTGAGAAGTGAAATAGTATTACGGAACGCTAATTGTAATTCCTGTTGTCGTCGGCCAATAAGGAACTGGGGTGCGATTGTTCTCTTTTTCCAGTGGCGCCCTCTATGGCCAAGAATTCGACTTCTGTCTCACACATGCGCCACAGCCGTATCTAGTGCAAACATATCTATACATTCGTCCACAGGTCGTAATTTTGACCTGAACCAGAGAACGATCAATCTCTAATTCAGTACCCCCAGAGTTATTGATTCGTTATGGGAACAATAAGGACTTTGTGACCCGACAGATTTTACGTGCACCAGTCACCATTTACTACACGGGGAGTCTTCGGCCATTTGTGAAAACTCCCGTTCTGACAAACGTGAGTCCAGTGCCCTACCAACCAGGCTATCCTGGCCATTGTAATTCCTAAAAAGTAAGAGTAAGTATAGAAAATAATCGTTAAATGATTGGAGAAAAGTGTAAATTGCTTTACGGAATGCAAAACTGTATGGCAAAAAAACTAGAATTTCAACTAACTGTTTTAATCCGTTTGTGATTAGGGTGGAAAACGGAAGAAAACCATTTTGTCAATAAAACGGCTTTAAACCGTTAAATTTATGGAGAAATTCCAAATAAACGCGTATTTTTTTAAAAGTGTGCCTTGGTAAATTGCAAAAAAATCTTTTTTTTTTTGCATGTTAACGGCTATAAAGCTTTAGCCGTAAGGTATTCATTAATTTCTCACGAAGTTTGTCTTCTAATATTCATAAATTTTAAAACGTCATTATTTATGACAAATCATGAGGCATTTTGGAATAAACTACATGAAATTTTCTTCTTTTTTTTTTAATAACGTAAAAACTCAAACTTTAAAATATTACCCATCTAGATACTATTCCAAGACTATTTGATTAAATATATTAGTATTCTCTTCTGTCCAAAAGAGAGAAGGAAAAAAAAAGGGGGGGTGACAGGGGCTATGAGATTGGCCACTAATCCTTTCTTCCGAAGACAAGACTCGGGAGCAAGATCTCATTAAGTTGAAATCTAGCCTCGCTCCCAAAAGAAAAAAAAACTTCATCTGATCTGAACTTGATTAAAAGGGAAAGAAACTTTTTTTATGATGCCGCTACAAAATTATGTCTTCAATCAGTTTACTTTTCTAGTTCTCTTTTCGGACATGTCTCAGTTATCTCCGAGAGTTCGAAAATTGAAATTGAATTTTTAGGAAGGAAAATCTTATTTTCGGATCGCTGGGTCCTTGACATAGGACTTAAGCCCCGATAACAGAGAGATCGGATTGAAGAAGATGAGATTCTCTCTTTTCTAGACTTTTCTGTTTTCTTTTGGAAAAGAGAGAGGGAGATTCCAGTAGAAGTGTCTAGGAATCTATGAAACTGATATCTTTATGTCCTAGCGTAAAAATCTTTTTTCATGGTTGTAGAATTCCACAGGTTCTCTTATAAATTGAAGAATTATTTTTTTCAATTTCGGAACACGTAGGAGTTTTTGCCAGGAAAATGCACGATGCATTATATGAAACAATTAAAACAATACTTGATTAAAAAAGCATCATTATGTAGCATCATTCTGTTTTCTTTTGGAAACGAGAGAGATTCCTGTAGAAGTGTCTAAGAAGCTATGAAACTGATATCTTTATGTCCTAGCGTAAAAATCTTTTTTCGTGGAAGTAGAATTCCACAGGTTCTCTTATAAATTGAAGAATTATTATTTTTTTCAATTTCGAAATACGTAGGAATTTACGCTTGGAAAATGCACGTTGCATTATAACAATTAAAACAATATTTGATTAAAAAAGCATCATTAGATTCAAAATATGCAGATGGAAATGAAAGTCTGCATGTTTCAAGCTCTCAAAAATGGGCACCCATTCTGAAGATTTGCTAGGCGTGAATGAGAAGAAACCGTAGGGATTTGAAATATCGTAATTTTTGTTTCACTCTCGGCTGCCGTGGGTTTTTCTACTTCTGTTTCCCATCTTTATTTTCCATTTTTCGTTGGCAACTTCACGTTTACTATTTCAAATCGCTTTGATTTATTCTCATTCACTTCTGGTAAGTCTTATAAATGGGCTCCTATATTTGAGCCCTTGAAATAGGTTGACTTTTTTTTCCATCTGCATATTTTTGAAGCAAATGAAGTATCATCTTACCTCTTCAGTTTTTTGGGATTATTTATTTAATTAAAACATGTATTATTTATTTAATTAAAACATTTCATGCTTTCGATTGTTTCAAAAACAATGATAGATTGAATTGTATACATTTAGTCTTTAAATATATGGAAGATAAAGTAAATTATTACAGATGTTATGTTAATAGAGATTAATTTACATTTGAGGTTATATTTTTATCAGATTAATTATATAAAGAGTATTTAAATTTCATGTAGACAGATTTGATTATATAAATTCGAAATAAATACTTTTTACAATAAAACGTGGAAATATCAGATGAAAAGTAAATCTCAGGTCTAAAGAAATTCATTGCGTTAATTTGTATAATTTTTTAAGCCAAATTTAAAAATTATAAGGCACTGCTGATAAATAAAATTTTGGGAAATTCTAATGTTAAAATAGTTGAAAAGGTGATGCTTTTAACCTTTGGTGTGTTTGAATAATTTTTCAGAAATTATGTAAGCAATTTCTTTTAAATGTGGCTAGAAGTTACTCAGTCTCGGCCATTAATGTGTTACATTTTCAATGTTTCTTCGAATGTGGTTGCAAATTTTCCTCTTGTTTAATCGGATTCTGAAATAAGTATATTCTTAACACGATTCCGATTAACACGAAATATTTTAATGCATGAAAAGCATAATTCAGGTTAAAAATATCTTAAAATAATTTTTAAATAATAGACGTTTAACCCTGTTTTTTGAAATCAACACTATCTGCCTTTTGAAATCAATTTTGAACCTGCATATCAAAAGAATATTTTTTTATGTTTACTAAAGCTGTAAAAAACAGAAGAAATATCCAGTTAGATTAAACTAATTTGTACAACCAATTTCTTTTTCATATAAGGGTTTCTTCATATACAGACCTCTTTTGTGGTTTGACATTAATGGGTTAATAATTGGTTTTTACAATTACATTTTGCGATTTACTCATTATTGGTAGGATTTATCATATACTGACCTCTTTTTGTGGTTGGAGTTTTAATGAGTTACTTATCTTAATTAAAAAAATTTCCATATTTTTTCCAAATTTTTTTCTTTTGTGACTTGTCTAATCATTATCTCACAGTATAGTCTTCAAATTACTAATTCATTTTATCTTTTCTAGTGGTCAATAGTAACCCTAGCCATTGGTCTGGTGAGATGGGCAGGGCAGTTGTCATACCTCCAGAAGAAGAAGAGCTTCGAAAAGAGAAATTTAAATTAAACCAATTTAATCTCCTGGCTTCTGATCGAATAGCCCTCAACCGAACCTTGCCCGATGTTAGAGCCGAAGGGTAAGTACCTGCAATTAGAATAATGAAAAACGTATTTAACAGTCTTGGTTTAAAAAAATCATAATTTGCACACACCATTTGAATTAGGTTTTCTGATCATTAAGTGTGATTGTTTATCGATAAAATACCTTTTCCATTACTTTCTCATTCCATTACATTTACTTAATGATATTTCTTATGATGTAAGTTTTTTTTTCGGAAATGAATTTTTTAGTGATTGATTTTTTTTTCTTATTTGGCGAAAGTGAAATGGCATTGTTAATTTATTTTGTTCTTTCCATAATATTTTTTGAGGCCGTGAGTACGATAATCGTCGAAATTAAAGATTACAGCAGTGTGAAAAGTCTTAAAATTTGTCTCACATTCATAAAATTTGCTTTATAGTTTTATTATATAGCCGAACGGCTTGTAGAAATATTCCCAGTTCGAATCCTGGTTAGAGGCATGGAAGTTCTTTCCTTTGTGTGTGTCTTTCTTAATGTGGGGGCAAAATTTGCCCAACTAATAAGATGCTTTCTGAAAAAGTGGTCTGCACATTTGCCCTTCTAATATTGATTTTTTTTTACGTAATTTATTTTAAAGGAATTTTTATATCAGTTTTTTCGACACGTATTTAACTGGATTAATGTTCTTAAAAAATACAAATTTAAATATGAAGATAGTGAGTTCTTGCCTGGAAAGAAGCTTGTAACAGAACGCGGCTAGTACTAAACAAAATCAGCTAATTTATTTACGTTTATCGTTATCATCATGCTTGATACATCTCAGCTTGAAGCAAAGTCCATCTGTTGAAGACTACTCTAGAACAGCTTATTTCTAGACTAGTTATTTCTAGACTCCAAATTTTAGCCTTATTTTTCCTGACCACTGAAGGGTATTGCAAATAAAAACATTTTTTGCCTATTTTTTTAATCCATTTTATCAATATGAGTAGCCCAATTTATTCTTTTAATTTTAATATTTTTCATAGTATCAGGTATAAAAACCCACTGATACGCAAGTTAGAGCGTAATCTGAATTAATCATAATGCGTTCATTTACATCAGTGTTTCCCAAACTAATTACTTCTGTGTACCCTTTCTTCATTTTTCGTAACGCTGTGTACCACTAATAAAAAATGATTATATTTTTTACTATAAAAAAATTGCACAAAAGTTGAAAATCACAACTGGCTGTTGACACCACAAAGTATTAACTGTTAACTCTGCAAAAAATAGCCAATAGAAAAATACGTGATAGTAAATTTTCATGGCTAGCTTTACTTTTAAATAAAAAAATTTGAAATTTTCGTTTGTTGCTAGATATTTCGCATAAGAACGCGTACCCCCACTAAACTGTTCCCGTACCCCTGGGGATACGCGTACCACACTTTGGGAAACACGGATTTACATTATTAATTTTGCCACTTCCTAACCTCACGGAATATTTATATTAAAATAAATGTGGATTCAAAGATTTCCAGATGCTTTACTAAACGTTCCAGCTCTTTTCATTTAATTTTTTTTTTGCTTTTTCGTCAGACTTAGTTTATAATGCCTTTTTAATTGATGTACCTTGAATACACAATAAAATTAGTCTTTCAAAGTGTTACACATTCGCAGTGTAATAACATTCGTCTGTTGTATCATAAAACTCTACATTCTGTAGAGTTTTCTATAGTGTGTAGAGTTTTTTTATAATTTTTAATTGGCTGCTTTTAGTTGTCTTATATATAACAAATCTTTTTTTTTAAGTTCTGCGGTTTGGCACAGGTATCAGTGATTTCAATAACGTTTCAAAATGAGAATTAAACTAATTTTTACCTCTTCCCATATCGTTTTATTTGAAAGAAATATTTTTGCTACCTCCCTAATTTTTCTTTCGACTTTATAAGCCATTCAAATTCCTTCTTTATAATCAAGGACATAAACAAATGCGGGATTATCTTATTTTTCTGTGACAGATTGGCGACAATCAGTTAAAAACAGTGGTAGCCTTATTTTATTCACCAGTGATTATTTCAACATGAAAATTATGCGAATATAACAGTCCGTCAGTAAATAATTGTAGTGATGAAAATAATGGTAGAAACTTCTAATATGTGACAGCTTCTTCAGTTTTAAGAAATGTTCCAAATGCACAATTTTAGATCAAATATAGTAACATATATTTTTAATATGAATAATTTGGTAAATATTAATATTTTTGTTTAACCGAGAAAAATAAAAAAAAGACTTAATTCATTTATTAGTTTTTACCTTATTTAAAAAAATGCGAGAGAAAGTACGAGTGCCTGGTGGTTTATAGGTTATATTTATTGATTTCAAAAATAAAGTGGTAAAACCTAAAATTAAAAATATAGTAAACTCTTCTAAAAAATCTGGTACTCATGGTCGGTAAATTTATAATTAAGGTCGGTAAATTTATAATTTATTATTTATCATTTATTAGTTTTTACCTTATTTAAAAAAGTGCGAGAGAAAGTACGAGTGCCTGGTGGTTTATAGGTTATATTTATTGATTTCAAAAATAAAGTGGTAAAACCTAAAATTAAAAATATAGTAAACTCTTCTAAAAAATCTGGTACTCATGGTCGGTAAATTTATAATTAAGGTCGGTAAATTTATAATTTATTATTTATCATTTATTAGTTTTTACCTTATTTAAAAAAGTGCGAGAGAAAGTACGAGTGCCTGGTGGTTTATAGGTTATATTTATTGATTTCAAAAATAAAGTGGTAAAACCTAAAATTAAAAATATAGTAAACTCTTCTAAAAAATCTGGTACTCATGGTCGGTAAATTTATAATTAAGGTCGGTAAATTTATAATTTATTATTTATCATTTATTAGTTTTTACCTTANCCGAATCTACCAAGTTATCTTGAGATAGAACGATAACGTATGTGACTTTTATGAAAATATTGTCTAAAATTGTAAATAACCATCAAGTTCAAAGTCAAATTGGATACAATCTTTGTCGTTGAATAAAATAAGTCGGTAAATAACGAATTAAACTTAGCACGTAATTTTGAGAGGTAGAGTTTCACATTTGCTCTTCATAACCGAATCTACCAAGTTATCTTGAGATAGAACGATAACGTATGTGACTTTTATGAAAATGTTGGCTAAAATTGTAAATAACCAAGTTCAAAGCTACCATATTTTTCATTGAATAAAATAAATCTGTAAATAAAGAATTAAACTTTATACTGGATTTTGAGACAGATTTCACGTTTGATTTTCATCGCTACCTAGAAAGCGATCTTGACATAAGAAGTTATATATCTTCATCGATTGCTATACTTTTCAAAAAAAAATTCCAAATTAACTCTTTAAAACAGCTTACATGGTACGAATTTTATTTTGTATGTCCTATGTCATTTTTTTAGTTTGATAAATATTGGGAACAGGTAATGGTTTTGGGGGACGCGACAGTTGTATTAAGATTGATTTTAACCATAATTGAATCAACGAGTCTGAAAACCAGACATCTCCACTTTATGTCAAAATTCAAAGTCTTGCTTTTCTAAGTTTGGCTGACGTAGATACATAGTTCGGTTATAAAAAATTAATGCTCTCCTACTTGGTTTATGGTATATTTTGTGCATTGAAATCTTAATTGAGATCAAAAACAAGTCATATAACCTGTTCTCGGAATGAACCTGAAAATATACCGGCAGATGACTGCAGTATTTATTTATGAAATTGTCAACATTACCTAACAAGGTAGGTATTTAGTTTAGGTTTGATATTTTGCTGGTGCTTTTTGCCACACAATGAGTGATTCAGAGGGTAATTCTTTAGGTGATATTTGCAAGAAAAGAAAGAGGGGTAAGAGTAATTATGGGCAGCAAGAAGCAAAATTCGCAAAAGTTAAAGGGGAGGGTTCGGAATACATGGGGGATTAATTGGGTTCGGAATTCGCAACAAAAAAGGGAAAATTCATTCCTAAGATAGGAAAACTGCAAGTAAGAATTGTAAAATAGCAAATTAGATTATAATACAATATAATTTCATCTGTATGCGGCCCAGTACAGATAGTCATAATCCACTAGGAAGACTTCTGACTCTATACAAATAACCATGTTTATGTATTCTAAGACTCAAGTAAATTCTTTATTGCATTTCTAAATGGCAAATTATTTATATTTTCGCTCGTTAAAAACTATACATAGTATTCGTTTAAAATTTTTGTACGAAAACCGGTCTAAAAAATCTAAAATTCTAATAATTTTCTATTTTTTCTTTAAATTTAATGTTATTACATAACTGCAACAGAATGTTCTGAAATCAGCCATTTATTGATATAAAATTATTTAAAAAAATGCTCTATATGTCGAGTGGCTGCTTAACCATTCAGTTTCTTTTCCTCTACTGTAGAAATAATTTTGGTAAAAATAACATATTTTCTAACTCATTGATTCAATTGTAATGTATATTTAGTCATTTTGCTACACAGCCCTAAGCAATACTTAATGCTGTGTTTCTCTTCACAGGTGCAAGACAAAAACTTATGCGGCTCGATTACCTGCCACTAGTATTGTGATAGTGTTTCACAACGAAGCATGGTCTACACTTCTTCGCACGATTCATAGCGTCATTCGTATGTCGCCCAAAGAACTTATCGAAGAAATTATCTTGGTTGATGACGCTAGTGAGAGAGGTAAATGGTTTCTTTACTTAACCTTTCAGAGCAGAATTTTTATTAAACATATTTTCCACACTGTTTTCATTATTTTGTTTTAAATTAGGTTAAAATAAGTAAAAAATATTATATTTGGATTTACAAATTTATGGGTAGGAAATACAGCACGAAACACTGGTGTCATTTTCTGCGTTAATCTTCCAAACATGGCCTACTTCAAAACAATTTTTAAAATTTGCAGTTATTTAGATGTAAGAGAATTAAGTTATTCATCATTGAAATTTCTTCAATTTACAATATCTATTTTTGATAAATTTTTGATTATAAATTAAAAGAAAAATTTTCAAACTACTTTAAGTTTTATTTTAGTACGAATTTCAATAATTTAACTGATCTTTTTTAGTAACTATTAGACTGTTTTATTGTTATAATTACAAAATACCAAAATATATTTTCATTTGAAATTAGAGCGTCAGAAAAAAATATATAAAGTCTACTTTAAGGGGTTAGGGAATTTTTTTAGAGGGCAACTATAGTTAAAAAAAACAGTGATAGAAATTGGAAAAAAAATTTATTGTAATTAAATAGTAGATAGTTTAAACCGTCATTTCAGGTTTAAAGTCATGTCATGAAAACATTAAGCATTGTTGTTTGGCTTTATTTCGCCGTGTCTAAATAAAAACAAAGAAAGTCTTGTTATCACTTTCTTTTTCCTTTACAATACATAGAAACAAGAAAAAAGAAGCTTTTAACTCTAATGTCTTTTAATTGTTTAACCAACAGTTGAAGATTAGAATTTTTATTTTTATTTTTTCCTTTTAATTAATCTCCCATAATTTAATCTTTATTCTCAAATAACTATACCTTCAAAAAGATATTTTAAACAATTCAACTTCAAACACTTTTCAAATTCTTTGAATTTTGCGGAAAGAATGTCTTTAATTAACTTGGTCTTTTTCTGCCTATTATACATTTACATCTGTTAAATATCGCTTGAATGGATGGATATATCTATCGTTTATGTTTGTTGAATTTGAGGAAGACAAAATTAGTTGACGGCAAATAAAGTTTTTTTAGGCCATAAATTGTAGAGTAAACAACCATGCACATACAGTGCAAGGAATGTGAACGACATAACGCTCACAGTGCTACCTGCACTCATTAATATATAACTAAAAATACCAGTAAGCATTTGCACCATTGTTATATAGTCGATTCTCCTATCGTATGTGATGTAACATACGTAACTTACTTTTGGGGAAAGAAAAATAGAGTAGGTCACACATCAGCATCAGTTTATATAGACCAGGGATGGGCAAACTTTTTTGGTCGAGTGCCAAAAATCAAGAAAATAATGTTTGGTGGGCCAAATAAAAACTTTAAAATTTAAAAAAAGAAAAAACGATGTGCAAGTTTTTATTTAAATATTTAGTGAGATGAAGGAAATTGCGATTTCATTTTTAAAAGTTCCTTATATTAAGGTTCCAAGTGAGATGTGCTTATTTTAAGGAACAGGGCTAAATGCTTTTCTGTTAGTCTACTTCTGAAATGATTTTTTCTAAGGTTCATAGTTGAAAACTCTTGTTCACATATATAAGATTAAGCAAACATAGCACTGACTTCTGGGCATGAAATATTAAATTTTGAAAACTAGCTTTTGGTAATGATTTGTAAAACTTTGGCATATTTAGAAACAACTGCTTCAGATGATTGTTAGATTGTCCGCTCTTTGGAGCGTAAAATGCGCAGTCTGCAAATGTGAAGTACAATTTACCTATATTAGATTCCATAAGTCAGCTCCTCGAGAAAGACAAACGCTAGTTGGAGCCAATCTACGGCTTTTCTATGAAAAAAAACTTCTGCTTTCAACATTTTACCAATTGAAGCTGTCTGTGCTAACTATTTCCATCAATTTATGTTTTGTAGAACAAAAATACAGAAAGTAAAAATGTCATCAGTACTTTGTTAAGAAAGGAAAAACAGAAATAATTTTAAACATAGTCGACAAGGAAATGGATGTATATTGTTTATATTTGCCACTGATCGGCAAATAAAAATTCTATCCACGGGCCGGATAAAATCTTCCGGCGGGCCGTTGTTTGCCCATCCCTGATATAGACCATGTGTTGGCAACTCCTTTTCCCAGTTGTCGCTAACACGAACGTTGGTCCCTATACTATAGTATTTTTCAATTTATTTTTCCAATTTCACAAATTTATATTAATGATAAGAATACCGCATTCAATAACTATCTTTATTTATAATCGCGATCATAATCGATAAGTATCGGTGTTATCATATTCGATAATAATAATTATTAATGATGATCGTGATATTCTCGTATTTGATTCACCCATGCGTATTATCAGTAGCCGGTGACCTGTGTAGACAAGAATCGAGCCTTGTTTCTATGTTCTTTAGAACATGGCTTCATGGTCCCTCTGAAATATTAATATGACATTAAGTGTTAATGTGGCACAAGGTGTTAATGTGACGCAAGGTGTTAATGTGGCTTAAAGTGTTAATGTGGCACGAGGTGTTAATGTGGCACAAGGTATTAATGCGTCACAAGATGTTAATGTGGCTCAAGGAGTTAATGTGACATAAGGGATTTAATATCCCATAAAGGTTTTAATGTGACGTAAGTATAATATCTTTGAATGTTAATGTGACGTAAGATGACGCAACTACTGTGTCCTGGCATAGTATTTACATAAAGTAAAAAAAAGTTACCTGGAAGTAAAAAAAGAGAATAAGAACTTCTTTTTTCATCTTTCTCTCTATGCTATTTTCACTTACTTGACAGAAGAGCTCATTCGTTAAATGACAAGTGAATAGCAATAAATTTTTAATGAAATAAATTTTACTAATGGATGATACCTACCTATTGTTCTTGGTTGCTATTTCGAGTGGTGACATTAATCTAATTGGAAGATTTATGGAACATGAAAATATCTAGCTGATTGTAAGATTTACAATTGCGCAGTTTAAATTTCATATGATGCATAAGAATACAGATTCCAACTTAAAGAAAACTATTGAAGCGTTGGTGCGCATAAAAGTTTTAGATAAAAGTAATTGTCTAGTGAAAAATGATATCAAAGAAAAGAGTATTTATATTCTTTCTATTAAAAAAATGGGGAAAGCCGTCGATTATATCTGACGGATATAAAATATCTTTTTTAATAAGTATGAATTCTTTCTTTATTGTTTTCCTACATTATATTTTTAGTTAATGTATAGCAGACATAAATGCATTCTTGGTGATCTATCGCCTGCTAGAAGATATCTCAACATTGAAAAATGTATTTTGTCCTATTTTTTTTATTTCTTCTTTTTAATATTCTAAGAGACCGATTTTTCAACAGTGATGGTCTTTAGAGAATGGCAAAAATACTTTTAAAAGTTGTGAGTCTATTATGGTAGAAGTTTTATTTTACTGGCTAAAATTTTGCAGTGTGTCATTTTAATTTCTATATTTTTTAATAAAAAAATCGTAAAATGGTGGTTAAATAGAACATAACAAGAAACATTTATTTTGAACTAGAATAAAATGTTGAAAACTACGGTTTTTAAAAGAAAATAATTTTATTTTTGTGAGTCCTGAAAATAAGAAATGTTACTCTAGCGATATTTTACGATGGACGTGGGGAGAGGGAGGTTTTCAATGGTGATAGAAATTTGTTACGTAAGTGATACGTCCTACGTTTTTAGTTTTATCTCATACATAAATAAAATAATTTTCGCCTTTTTAGTTTTGTGTCTGCTTATGTCAAAAAAAATGGTCGAAATTTCGATCGGCACTGAATTTTGACTGCTCCATTTAGGAAACTATTGCAAATTGTATTGGCATCAGACACAGAACTCCAGTCAAATTTTGAGAACTCTAGCTTGTCGGAAAGTAGACGAAATTTCGATTTGGATTAATGATTTTCTTTTGGAGATAACACAGCTATAAATTCTGCTTGTTATGTTTAGAAATCGTTTTAATCTTGCATTGTCATACAGAAGAGAAATTTAGTTAAAATTTGAGCCCTTTAGTTGGTCGGAAAGTGGTCGGAGTTTTGACATTAAAATCTCTTTTGCTTTAAATTATGTTTTTCGGAGTGGTCAGAAAACTACTGAAGCTTGCATATTCATCAGACACAGAGCTTTGGTGGAGATTACAGAGAGAGGTGATAGAAACTTTGATGTCAAATATTACTCACACAAACTGCAAAGTGAGCTAATAAAAAAAGTACTGTAAGTTCAATTTGCGGGAATATATTTAAAAAGTAACATTTCATGAAACCGTACGTCTCAAAATTTTTCTAGCTATAAATAAATAAATTTATCGAAATCAGTTCATCATTTCCTATGTACTGTATATCAATGTCAAAAATTCGCGTTTTAGAAAAGGTAATGAAGAGAGAAAAAAAATGATCCGTATTAAATTTCCGAAGCGAAACTTTTTTTTTTATTAAAGTGAATTTATTTTTATTCGGTGCTTAAATTAAATATACAAGCAGCTATCTCTAACTTAATATGAAATCACTCGCAACATGTCGCCTCTAGGAAATTTAACCTCCTGATAACATTAAACTTTTAAAGTTATGAGAAAATTTATTCTGAAACACTATTAGTTGAGTAATGACACTTGCTTTTAGAAATGTAACAGCTTTTTTTCAAAATGAAGATTCTTTTTAAGCAGTATCTTGCGTCAATCACTTGATTATTAATATGCAGTTTATTTTTGTTATTCATTTTTATATCATCGTGCTCTGTTAATTAAGATTTTTGTGTTAATTCTTTCGACCCCATGTTTTCCAATTCGGGAGCACATTTTTTTTAAAGATATTAACCGAGAACTCAATTTCACTCAAATCATTTATCTTAAAAAAAAATAAGACAATTGTATCGACCATATTGTATTTACAATAAAAACTGCTTTATTGCAGTATGAGATTAGGAATCCTATTAAATCAAAAATAATAAGTGACATTTTAAAAAAAATATCGGCATAGTCTGGGACAGTGGTTCCAATTTTTTTCTTTCTGTGGAACCCTAAATGATCAACCCTCATTCGGTGGAACCCTGCTTTTATAAATTAAATTCAATAGCAATTGTGAATATACAAACCAAAGAAAGACTACTATGTAATTATTAAAAACTAATAAAAGACGATTATAAATTTATTAACAAATATGGACCATTTTGTTTTCTAAATATTTAATAAAAGGAATTACATTTTTTCATAGTTTTGTCATTAATAATCTTAAATTAGGTTTTATGTCCGACAGAGTTGAACTTGTCTGGATTAGATTTTTTTTTCTGGTCTTTAAGCATAAGCTGAAAATAAATTAAATAAGCCGAACTGTGATCTTCGTTGAAATGAAAACTGATAAGAACTTATACAACTGTTGGAATTGGTTATTAGGGAAACACATTTCTTCATTAGCGAATTTAGTTACTTAATATTGATTTGAAGACCGCGAAGGGAAAAACTAATGCATTTTTTTAAAAATTCATGTCCTTTCAATAATTTATTCAATACATTACTAGCAATACATTACTTTCCAAATATTTTGCCATTTCTTTTCCATTAGCAGTTTACTTTAAATAATATCGTAAAGACATTCGAAATATTAGGTAAAAAATTATTTATTAATTGGATTTAAATATAATTAAAGGTTTCAAAGAATGTTTTTATGTAAAAGACTATTTATAAAAAGTCCTAACTTTTCGGAACCCTTTTACATCTTTCACGGAACTCTAGGATTCCGCGGAACACTTCAAGAACCGCTGGTCTATGAACCACTTCATTTTTTAGAACAAAACATTTTTTTATTCTCGCTGAATTAACCGTATTTTTCGAAAACTGTGCTTGATATTCGTTAACAATCATTTTTACTATTTTATTTAAAAAGTGTAAATTTCTGCACAAAAAGAACATTTTCTTTAAGGCTTCTGCTTGAATTAACCTTAATTTGAGTAAAGGAATTTAGGTGCTTTAATATGAGATAATTAAGTGATCTATTTCATCCAAAAATGATGATAGACTCAACCAAAGACTATGAAATCTGCGTGAAATGACAGTGAGAAAACAGAAGCCTTCTATTGGCTGTAGTGTGGGCAGAGTTCGTTAGAAAAATTTTTTGGGGTTTTTAAGTCATTATTTTTAGCCAAATGTGATTGAATACTTTGTTATGTCTTATGTTTTCTTTTTGTCATAAAATTGTTTATGAGTGTATTGAGCTTACGTGTTTAATGTTTTGGTACTATCCCATATTCGGACATTTTTTTTCTAGATTTCGCAGATTTGTTATCATTTTTATTCTTTAAATTAATACTGTTGTGCTTTTGAATTTCTAAAATTTATCCGGTTAAAAATTATTTACTCCGGTCACGTATGCATTAGATATTATAATAATGAATATTAGAATAAACATTATGCTCTAAACTGAATTTTTAAAAAGAACGTCTCATTTTAAAAACCTTTTTCTTTCATGTATTTATTATGCAGCGTATTCCGTAATTTCCGTCTTTAATATATATTTTTAGAATCTTTGTTAAAAATAATGACAAATTAGAAACATTTAGAGGCCATAAACTAATTTTTTAAGCTATTAAAAAACAAATTACTACGAAAGCTAGCGAATCACAATAAAAGAAGGAGCACCGAAACTTGTTTGATCGCCGGAAATAGAGAAATAATTATTTTATACACCTTCAAGTTTCATCTGGTAATGAAACGTGTTTTCATGTTTTTTCACCAGTCAACTGTACCATTTCTGATTTTTTTCTCTCAAATATTAATTTGTGATTCTTAATGTACATAGTTTTTGCCTTCAAGGATTCTCAAAGTAAATAAAGGGCAGTTTCATATGAATAATTTGCATTGTGTAGATTATTTTATTGAGAGCTTTGCCTAGTATTCAAAAAAAGTTTTGAATATAATTGTATTTCTTTTTTATAGGATTTCTCATTCAGAACTAAGCAACTAATTTCTTAAAAAATTTTAATGCTGTTATAGGGTGTATGTATTTATCTATTTGAACTCCATTCATTTAAATTTTAGATTTTTCAAGTTTATAAAATCAAAAATTCAATCGAGTGCGAAATTTTTGATGAAACAAATGATTGCAAAATTTATTTAAAAATTGCCTTACCAACCACGCAGAGTAGTAAATAATTTCCCTCGTGGCAAAGGCTTATTATTAAGCAGAAAGGTTAACATATATGAATAATGTATTAAACGCCATGCAAACGAGTATGTTTGTACACTAAATGAAGTTTACAAAATCACAAGATATAAAAAAACACGAATAATATAAAAATCAAATAATAACTGCAAATTTAAGTGTAACTACATCTAGCTACTTTCTGTGTGCCGACAAGCTATTACAACATTTTAGCATAAAAAAACTGATTTTACTTTTATTTTAATTTTTTTTTTGTATTCTTTGTTTAATACACTAATTAAAGAAAAACACAAAGCAACGTCTTGTAGTGCCGTTTACAAGCAAGCAAAGAATTTTTCATTCTCTTATACTAAAATAAAAGTAATTAATTTCAGCTCAGATAACAAAACTAACACGATTTAATTAGACGACACAATTAGGTTATAAATATTCATTAAAATAAACTGAACTTTGAGATTTCGACAGAGCAATATTTTTGTTGATATTGATTTCTTAGTTAAATAAGATTAAAAAGAATTATAGTATATAATAAAATTAATATTAAATTTTATAGGAAATCTATGAACAAAGCAAAGCTATGGAAAAATGCCAAATATTTCTTGCTACCTTCTTTTTTTTCTCCAAATTATTTGCGACAATCTCTTTAGAAATACGTATCTAAATTAGTTTTTTATGACTTAACTGTAATTTTAGTGCCACTAAACTATTAAACTTGAAATATTTGTGTTTTAAGTAATAAATTAAATTTAGAATGAAGTCTGTGATCAAAATAGAATAGCTTGAGGTGCAAATTATTTTTTTGCAAATTATTTTTTAGTAATTTATAAGGGTCTCATTAGCTATAATACATATTTTTTGACTGATTATTTTTAGCAATCACTCTTGGAAATACATATCTATATTGCTTTGAACATTGTTAGTGCTTTGATGATAAAAAAAAAAATGATAAATTTATGTGTTTTCAGTTGTAGAGCTTTAATGGAAGAAAGTTCTAAGTGACATTTTTTTTAAACATATTCGCAAGAATATATCGATAAATACTTTTTTCCACTACAAACTGGATTGACGAATTTTGTTGAAAAAGAGCTTTCTGTACATTTTGCCTCTGGAAAGAACTCCCCTAGTGATTCGTCTGGTACAGGGACAGTAATTATGGTTATGATGCTTAACTATTTCGAGTTGGGGTGTTAGGTCAATATTTAAGACAGGTTTTGGATCGAGTCAGAAGGAAAAATGGAATGTGGGGAAAGAGAAGCTCTCCCCTTTGGAATTTGCTGTTTCTTGTCTCCATCGCAGCAGACGACCTCTGAGACTTAATGGCGAGAGAAGTTCTTTCTGTAGTCAAACTATACATGCAGCTGACCAAAAGTTTGGAATCTATTATTTGGCATTATTTTTCCCCAGAATATCACTTGGTTCCTTCTTCCTCTAAGCTCTTCATTTAGAGAACTGATGAATTTAAGATATTGAAATATTTCTTGCTATTATTTACAAGTACTTTAACAAGCTGTATATTCTTTCTCTTTTTTTTAGATTACTTGCAGCAACCGCTGGAGGAATACATATCTAAATTGCCTGTTTCAGTGAAAGTGAGTCAGATTTTGCCGTCGCAATCACCTATAAGGTTTTTGAATAACACAAACCTATTCTAATTGCCTGGGGAAAACTATTTTTCCTTGAAATATTTCCCGCTCAAGAGCGAACTTTTTCGTTTAAAAGCAGACTTACTTATACGAAAGCTAGAAAAAAATAACCTCCAGAAATCATTAGTTGTGTAACAGTAGCAATTTTTTAGCTGTTTCTAACGAATTTAGAAGCTGTTTTCAACAATCGATAACTTTCATCATAAATTCTATTTTAAGAATCCCATAAGCAAGCAATATTCAGCTTTTTAATGAAAGAATTTCGAACCTTGCTTTTCCTAAAACCCTTTTTACATCGCCGGTAATTTATCTTAGATTTTGAGAAGAAGAAAAAAAACTTTAGAAATTTCTTCTTCTTTTTTCTTAATTTGATATTAAAATTATTTTTTGATTTTTTTTTTTCTTTTGATATAATGAACTATAAGGTTATTAATTAAATTTTATATTTGTTTAAATAAAAGTTTAAGAAAGTTATTTTAATGTATATACATTTTATGTTTTTATTTCATTCCAAATTCTAATTGAAATTGAATATTTTCATCATAATCCCTATTACAAAAAATACTAAAATTGGAAAAACTAATTAAATCCTGTTTGAATCTCATCAGTATTACTAAAAAGTAATAAAAACTGCTGACAGATAGAGTTAACTGAATTTTCTTCGATTTTTCTTTAATTGAATTTAATTTCCAAAGCAATGAAATGAGTTATTGGACATTTAATGCTATCTGTTTATCTAAGATTTTATCAGACAGACATTTGTTTGATATTAAATTCCTTAAAACTAAGAGAAACTTTGATGTCTATTTAATTATTTTTAAATTTTTTGTTTTGAATTAGTATAAAAATTAATGCGAACTTGCTTTTTTCAAAGTATTTTGTACTCCGTGATTCAGAATTTTAATTTTAAATGCGATATTTTACTTTTAAATTTGGAATTCTTTGTTTTTTAAAAAATACACGATGAATTGATATTCTTTATTAAAACTTTTTAAATATCTCTGTAATATACACTGAGGGGACAAAAGTCAGACCTTCTCTTGCTCCACAAAGAGCCGAAAATCGGCATGGCATGTATTCAATAGGTAGTTGGAAGTCTTTGCAGAAATATTCAGCCATGCAGCCTCCATATATGCGAAAGTGTTGCGGGTGTAGGATTTTATGCACAAACTGACCTCTCGATTATATCCCATAAATATCTGATGGTATTCATAATGGCCAAATCATTTGCTGGAATTGTCCAGAATGCTCTTTAAACCAGTCGCGAACAATAAAGGCCTCTTGAAACTGCCCATTGACATCCATAAAAATAGCATCGTTGTTTGAATAATGTTTATGACTGTAATGATTGACTGCAAGTAGCACCCAAGTAGCTGACCATAGCCATTTCCAGTCAACGATCGATGCAAATGGACCATAAGATCCAGTCCATGCCATGAAAAAGTAGTCCACCTCATTATGGAGCCACCACCATATTGCAGCGCCTTGTTGACAACTTGGTTCCATGGCTTCATGGGTCTGTGCCACACTCGACCTCTCCCATCGGATCTGATCAACTAAAATCATGACTCGTCTGACCAAGCTACAGTTTTACAGGGTTCAACCAATATGGTCACAAGCCCAGAAGAGGCGCTGGACGTCATGTGCTGTTAGAAAAGGCACTAGAGTCTGTCTTCTGCTTCCATATCCCATTACAGACTAATCATTATATCAAATTTCGTCCCACTGTCTTAACGGACACGTCCATTTTACTTCCCGTATTGATGCTTGCGATTATTTCATGCAATATGTTACTTTTCTGTTAACATTGTCAATTCTACTCACAAATCGTCAATCTCGGTAATCAAGCTCAGGTGGTGGACTACTGCGTTGTCCAAGGTGGGAAGTAGATCTAGGCATGCTGAATATCCTCACGATTTCCGAAATGAAATGTTCCATGTGTCTAGCTCCAACTACCATTCCATGTTCAAAGTCTGTTAATTCTCCTCTTGCTGTCATAATTACATCAGAAATATTCTCGATTGGATATCTTCAACATAGACAAAAGTCCTGCCAGAGCACCACCCATATATACGTCTTCTACGCAATACTATTACCATCTGAATATTTGAATATTGCTATCGCATGACTTTGTCACCTCATTTTCGATTTCAACTTAGGTTCTTACCTATTTGCTAACTAATATTTACTAAAAATTCATAAAAAAAATCTAATTTTTTTTTTAAATTTCAAAACAGCCTTTCCTTATGAATCATATCTATTATTGAAAGAATACTATTTAGCTAGAAGATTTTCTTAGTTTATATCATTGACCCTATCAAAGATCCAATTACAAATTAAAATGTAAGCAAATTACAAGTGCACTTTTAACAAATTAGCGCTTAGTGCCATTTTTAAAAAATCAAGTGATTTTTCAAAATTGTAAAAAGTAGACGCACAAACTTTAACATATTAAAATATAGACACGCAATCATTAATTAACATTGAAATTGCAAAAGGTAGACTCATAATCATTTAATTATTAGCATTTTAAAGTTTAGTTCAATCACTTAATTATTAACATCTAATTGGAAAAAATCTGTGCACAATCATTTAATTATTATCGTTGAAATTGCAAAAAAAAATAGACATACAGATTTAATTATGATTTGAAATTGTAAAATTAAATGTACAATCATTTAGTTATTAGCATTTTTAAAAGTGAAAGCAAGACATTCTAATCAAAATTCATAAGGGCTGAATACTTAGCAAAAGCTGCTAATAGAAGAAAATATTAATTTAAGTCCAACGTAAACATACACTACCACTCATTTACAAGGGCAGTGTTTGGATTGTTTCAAAATATAAAATCTCACAATAATGATGATTACGGAAATTTTATATCGAAAAAATACCACGTACTTACGATTTCTTAATAAAAAATAATTTACACTTCCCTTTTTTACTGATTACATGAATTGTTTTCTGAATGATGAATTCTATTTAAATAAATATTCAAATGGGTAGCAATATTTTATTGATTGTTGCGTAAATCCTACGGTTTTGTGCATTTAAATTTGCTGAAGCATATTTTAGTGTTTTATTACCAATATCCTACTGGCGTTACCAATATCCTACCAAAAAATTAATGAAACTGTGCAAAATGAATAAATATACTTAGCTATCCATAAGACACAACTACTATACAGAATACTTATGCATCGCAATTGGAAAATTTCTGGCAAATGTTCTAACAAAATTAAGTGTCATATATAAAATGTTTCCACTAACATTTAAAAAAAATTTAAATAATTATACAAAATTTTATAAAAAATATATTTTAACATTTCGAAAACTTTTCAAAGAAAGAAAAAGGATTTTTTTCAAATGTATTTTTAAAATTCTTAATTTATTAACTTGAGGCGAAATTTGATTGGTTTCTCGTTTTAAGAATATTAAAGAAAACTTACGGCTCAATTTCTAAAGAAATCTTTGCAAATAAACTGTTTTACTATTGAGATGTAGCTTTTGTGTCTGTTTTAAACTGTTTTATTGTTGAAATGTAACTTTTTGTGTGTGTTTTAAATTGTTTTATTGTTGATATGTACCTTTTTTGTGTGTTCTAACTGTTTTATTGTTGAGATGTAGCTTTTATGTGTGTTTTAGGTGCTGCGAACTGGTAAACGATCTGGATTAATTCGAGCTCGTCTAATAGGAGCTGCAAAGGCGAAAGGTCAAGTGATCACTTTCTTAGACGCTCATTGCGAGTGCACAATTGGATGGTTAGAACCCCTCCTCGATCGAATCGCGGAAGACAGGTTAGTTTTAATGGTGTTAAAAGTTTTTTTTCTTTTTGTAAAACTCGTTCAAAAATAACAAGTTAAAAATAGAATTTATGTAGTTGATGTCGATTTATCATTTCTAAAAGTTTTTAACGATAGTTTTCTTCCTACCTTAAAAATCTTGAAAAGAAATTTATTTTTGATATCCTTCAGACTGGTCCGAAAACTCACGCAAGAAGTAATTTTGGAAAACTTGGGGTTTCTAATTAATAACTCTGAATTTATTTATCGATTCATGGAGTATACGATATATGAAACTTTGATGTACGAATATGATCTGGTAATGAGGCAAATTTGTTGTAACATTCGCATTTTTTGTCAAAATTTTCAATGCGGCTCAATTTTCTTTGAAAGTTCTCTCAATCTCACTTTTCAAAGTATTGGGTGACTGGTTTTTCGAAAATTCAAAACGTGGGAGCCGAAAAAAAGTTAGCTTTAATGATTTGTTGATTTTTTTGTAAACGCATCCAAAAATAACAAGTTGAAAATGAAAGTTCTAAACATTCTCTTTATGTAATTGTTGTTCATTACTTTTACATTTAATTTCTTTCAAATAAAAAAAAATTTTAAGATTTGTTCCAAAAATCTCGTGAGAAGTAATTTTAGAATAACTTAAGTTTCGATATAATAATTGTGGCTGAAGTGAAAAACGAGAATTAAGTACAGAATCGAACGAACTACAGTCAACTTTGCTACAGTTTCGGTTCTCCCGACAAGAACTTTCCTCGGTGTCTAAACATTAAATGACAGTAGAAAATGAAAGAGATAAACAGGAGTGTAGTAGATTAACCGAACAAGATAAAGGTAGTTTGAACTAAATAATAAAAAGAAGGGTAATAAGAAACAGGTGTGAGGGGAATTTGACGGGAAACCCAGGGGGCCAAAAGATGAAATTAGAATACATACCATACATTGGGAAAGGGTTGGATAACATAAAAGATCATAAACGAAATAATTGAAATTTTTCAAAATAAGGAGTGATTCCCAAAAATCAAATTCGGTAGATGAATACTAGTGTTGAATCTGAATGATTTCAGCAGTGAAACCTGTGGTAAGAGTTCCAACTTTGTAATAAAAGAGCGGTTAATGTTTTGATTTTGGACATATCTTCCGTGTTAAGTTGATTTTGGACATATCCTTAATGTTAAATCGAAGTTTAAGTGTGCGTTTAGATTGCCCTATCAAGACACACTGATAATAAATTTGATAAATACCCCCAGCAATAGGATCTTAAAGGTTGAGGAAATTTAGTTAGTTTACAGAGAAGAAAGCTATTTAAAGACAAATATAGAAAAAATCTTAGCTATTCAGATATTGATTTTCGGACAGTAAGAAAGAACAAATTAATTTTCGCACTCGAGGGTTTGTTGGAATGCGAGATTAATTTTATTTTATATGGTATTATGGTTACAATAATATTTGTAGAAAATCCACGGTCATCAGCGATAGCTTTAGGGTAAATGAGCGCTTTATTAAGAAGATAACTCTCTAGAATAAATTTTAGACCCCATATAGTAAATGGTGACTGGTACACGCTAAATCTGTCGGGTTACAAATTTCCCATAACAAATCACACCTCTGGGGGTACTGAATTGGAGATTGATCATTCTCTAGTTCAGATCAAATTTACGATCTGTGTACGTATGAATGGGTCCGCCCTATAAACAGAACTGTGACGCAGTATTCTTGACCATAGATTACCTCACTGAAAAACAAGAAACCTCTGCTTTAATTTCACTTGGTTTCACCAAGCAAGCTTGCTAGTATTGGCAAGTGGCATTGGAAACAACAACGAACTTTAGAAGCACGAAATTAAGAAACAAAAATGTGCTTCTAAAATTTTACTAACCAAAAATTAAATACTATTTCAACTTTTATATTTTAATTTAATTTTTAATTGTTTAACAAGACTGGTGTAATTTAACCCTCTCTATGATTATATTTTTATTTTTACGAAACAAAACAAAAAGAAAATACAAAGGAGTCAACGTTCTTCATGCGAAGCAAATTTACCAATCTTTATATCTTTTTCTTACACAGTTAACGTTCGAAAATTAAAAAGCGTCTACGTACCAATATTTTTTCTGTTTATTAAAATGGCGAAGTTTTAGCTCAATAATTTTTATCTCATTATAAATCAGTTTATTTAATTATAAATTGAGATGCAGTAAAATAATAATAAAATCAACAAACCGTTAATATATTTCATTATAATATTTTAATCCAGTGAATTAAAATTTGCTTTATAAAACACTCTCACTTTCTCTCTCGATATTTCTCAATTATTTCTTGGAAATTAAATCAAACATTTCTAAAGATTGCCTGGAAATTACAACAGTTGATTGAAAATTATCCATCCATTTAATCCATTGGGTAACATTCCTATAAAAATTATTCTCAAAATTTGTGAAGATCTGATGAAATTGTCTTTATCGCACTTAATTAAATTAGTAAAATTTTACCATCTATTTTAAAGTTTGTTTTAATAAAAAAATATATACAAAGATCATTCTTGGAATTTGCGTATGAAATACACATCCCTATTATTCTGAAATTAATTTATAATAACGATTATAAGACGTTTTAATATATTTTCGTGTTGATAAGTTATTTACGTTACAAAAAAAACTCATTTTTGGTTAAATAATAAAAAGAAACTGAAGTGATAAGATATTAATTGATTAAAAACTTCATTCGCTTCAATAATACACAAATTGGAAATAACGATCGTCATGTTTCAAGCTCTCAAAAACAAGAGCTCATTTTTAAGACTTGCCAGATGAGAATGAGAAGAAACAAAAGTCATTTGAATATTAAAAAAAAACGTAAAGTTTTCAACGAAAAATGGAAAAATAAAGGTTAGAAACAAAACTAAAATAATAAAAACATTAGCCGAGAGAAAAAAAAATGAAAAACAGAACACGAAGGAACAAATCAGATAGGAACAAATCATGGTAAAATTCATTTCCACGCACTATGAAGAGGTCGTGAGACACTAATGCCGTTAACAAGGGAATCAGCATTCATATGAATAAAACAAGATTCCAGGATATCTAGATGAGCTAGTGTGGAAATAGTTTTTGTTACTATTTTTAAGTATGAGTAGCGTGCTACGAAACCTAACATCTATTTTGATTTATTGAGTCATTTGTTCATTAAATATTACTACTTGATTCCTTTCTCCATTAAGGACACGTGTCGTCTGCCCAATCATCGACGTCATCAGCGATACGAGTTTTGAATATGTTCCAGCATCCGATATGACTTGGGGTGGTTTCAACTGGAAAATGAACTTCCGGTGGTACAGGGTACCTCAACGAGAAGTGGACCGTCGGAATGGTGACAGGACACTTCCCGTTAGGTAAGAAAGTCTATTTTATTTAACATTTCGATGTGCTAGAGTTGTTGTTTAACTGAGTGTACACCAATCTATCTATGAAATTGATTGCATTCTGATTAAAATGTATAATTGAGATAAATATTTAACCCCTTAATTTGAAGGTATCTAGTTCATTGGTTCTAATTCATTGTAGTGGCGCAGTTGGTTTGTCGTCGGCCTTCTGAGCCCAAGTCTGCAGGTTCGATCCCCGTCCCAGACACCGGATTTTCGGGATGCAGAAAATCCTCAGCCGCCATGTCGTATGATTATGCGGCATGTAAAAGATCCCTGGAGTGCCTTATTGGCTCTTGGCATTTCCGGCAAAATTAAATTCCTTGTGCACTTTAGCATCCAAATAGAGTCTCGGTGCTACCATCTAGTGTGGCAGAAACTAGACGTCCAAATTAACATGACCAACGTTATCTCACCCATTGTGGTGGTCCTGAAAGAGTGGATATCACCTCTGGAGAACGCACTAGGTCTGCTCATCGGCAAGACCGATAATGCAGCTCATTGGAAATAAAAGTTCATTGGTTGCCCCTAAATTCTCTGTAACGTTGTTAGAAAAGAGACAAGTTGCTTCGAATTTGTCTGAAAGATTACCACACTTCTTAAAGTTTCGTTTTTTTTTTGTTTTTTTTTTTATCAACCGAAGAGTCACGCCAAACTACACAAAAGTAGCGTTAAGTCTAAGTTAAGAACTCCCTTCACCATTTGTCTGGAGCATTATAGTTACGATTATATAATATATATATATATATATATATATACTTTACAGAGACTATAGTTACGAACGAGATTTAACTATTTAATGAAAGGTTGTTGGGTCATTATTTAAGACAGGTTATAGATCAGGTCGGCGAAAGGATGGATCTACTGCGAAGCTCCCTTTCTTGAAATGCGCTATTTTGTTTCCATAGCATCAGACGGTCTTAAACTTAGTGACGAGAGGAGTTCTTTGCATTGATAGACTATAAATTATCTGCAGCACTGTAGTCGAACCAGGTGCGGAATTCGTATCGACCAAGCTTCTCTGGGATTCGAACCGGTTCACCTCATGGGAAGGAGTTTTAAATTGTTTTGTAGGGACTCTAGTTGTCCCTACTAATCATTTTAACACGAAGTTACTTTGATTATTATCATCATTGTTTCTTATAATGACCATTGGAGAATCCAAACTCGCCAGCCATTTGCCTTTTTCGAATTAAGTCAGGAAGGTGCGTCTTTAATTTGACAAGAGAGCGCTGCAAGGGTGAAAGTACATCGTAGCTCAAAACTTCAAAGATAGATGGCACCACCACTCATTCATGAAGACATAGATCTGAATGGGAAGGAAATTTTCACCAGATCCATAGATCTGAATGGGAAGGAAATTTTCACCAGATCCTTGTTCCCATGAGTACTGCTCAACGACCGACCACGGGACTTTCTATTCCTGTGATTTTACGAGCACGTATATCGCATGCTCTAGGTGGGTTTTAGCGGAGTCAAGGATTGAACCCGGGACCTCCTGCCCAGATTCTGATTCTTTAACCTCTGTGTCCACTACGTCCAATATTTATTGTAAATATCATTACAAATAAGACCTTAAATTTAAGACTGGTTTATCCCATAAGAAAATAACTTATTCTTGCATCTTCTCTATTTCTTATATTTTTCATATTTTCATCATTAACTTTTGGTAATAACATCTTCTATTTTTAATATTTAATCTAAAAAAATAAATAATAATTGTTATTTACACCCTTGATTAAAAGAGAAAATGCGTCTCCTTTGGGGTGCTGATGCTACAAACTTCCCAAATTTATTTTTCATTATATTTATTCACTATTTTTCGTCTCTTACTAAAAAATTGACGTTCTTGTCTGGAAAGGAATTATAATTTCGTGTTTTTCTTTTGCACTATAATTTGTGCTCCTGATGAAACAGCAGAACGCATCCCCCATTGGAGTATCGTTCAAGCTTCACTATTTCTCAAATTCTTCATTATTTTTCTTATCACGCTTACGAAAATAACTCCATTTGCGTCAAAACTAATTTCACGCCTGGTGTTCTTTGACATGTTCTTAATACCATCTTCTCTAAAATAGAAAGATGGAGAGAAAAAAAAATAAAAATTACAATTTTTAAAACTATTATACGGAGTAATTATTTGTACTTCTCATTTTTATTTACTTAAAATTATCATGCGAAAAGTATCGCGCAAAGTTTGTGAGCAATAAGATCATCCGTGTGGAGAGGAAAAACATATAATTAAGTCATTTTCCACTTCAGAATGGTGTAAAGTGTAAAAATAAAAAATAAGAATAACAAAATAAAAAGTATTTTGCTTGTGCCGTTTTATTAACCCTTACGCCTTCACTTCTTTTCACGTCGTTTAGAATAGATAGGATTTGCTATTTTTAGCCTCTGTGCTGAAGAAATAAAAATTAACCGTCATCGTCCCTTTTTTAAAAATTCTATTCAGGTATTTTTCATGTCATACTCATTTTTCGCTCGACGAAACTTATTGTCTCGCTGAGTACTTTTTTCGTTATTTATTTGTTTTAGCTGAAAATTAATTTTTTGTTTGTTGTTGTTGTTGTCTGAATTTGACGCTACGTAAAATAATTTATAAACCACTACTTTGTTTTTAATGATTGAAAGTATTTAACTTAAAAGGGGTTAATTTAGTTTAAATTAACCTATTTCCTTCTTGTTTTTTTTTTATCTTTTTTTTTTTGCATGAAAGAAAAAAATTGCAATGTTTTATGAATTTAACGGTTGTTTTCCTTTCCATATTATATAAATATTAGCTGCCTTTGGCGACCACTTTTCAAAATTATTTTGTATAGCATATAAACTTTAATGGTAATCAAGCCAAATTCTTATCCTAACTGTATTTAAATATTCGAATTTTTTAACACGTTGAATGCCACGCTAATTTTACATGGCTTGCCCGCCTTGCCAAACGGTAAATAACTACAAACTAAATTTGCAAATATTACAGATTTTGCTAGTTTTTTAAAAGGTTTAGCAGGACAGATCTGAAAAAAGTGATGAATTATATAAGCCTACGAATTGTTTAGAAATAGTGGCTGATAAAAATCTACTAAATTGAATTTATTAAACTAAGAATCACAATTAATAAACTACCACTTGAAAATATTTATTCGCTGTCCGGAGCAAGTTGGCATCTCTGTGTATATAAATAAAACTATTTTTGTGTGTTCTATATTGCATTAATTTCTTCAAACCATTTTACTAACGATAATAATATTTTAAAAAAATTAAAAATTTACTCGAATTACGAACGCACTGTTAAAAATTTCTAATAGCCTTGGCTTCGCCGGTGACACCCGCGGCTCTACGAACAAACTCAGTGCCGGTCGCCGGTGACCCCCATGGCATTCAACGTGTTAACCCCTTCTCCATTACTAATGCTTCAAATAGATTTAAACAATATTTTAAACCAATTTTTTCACCGTATAGCTATAGCCCGCACAGAATTACTTTTATTTCTATTTTAACTATTTTCAATATATATTCGATATTGTCAAAGTCCTTTATGTATTGAATTTTAGTTATAATTTAAAATCTGCCCGATAGCCATTAAATCACACAAATCACCGTAAGTTGATTTACACCGTGTTGAGTCACCGTGTTGATCACCGTGTTAATCACCGTGTTGAGTTAGGGACATTTCCGCATAGTAGGCAAAGGAAGTATTAAAATAATTCCCCTCTCTGTCATGAGATAAGATAGAAAACAAGTCCCAATGCTCTACTGTGTGCTATACTACTTCCTCACGCACCTCTCGAGCCATAATTTAAGTATCAAATAATTGCTCAAAAAAGCCTAGATCCGTCACCACTAATTGGTATGACAGTATGCGGCACCATAGCAACGTCTATGTTTAAAATTTTTACAGTCATTTTAAAAAGGATAAAAAATTAAATCTAATTATTTCATAACTACTTTTTTTTAATTTATAAAAATACGAAATTAATCTACATAAATACATCACATCGTTTCAGCACATCGTAAATCATCATTGAAGATAACCAGAAAATAAAGTTCATCTAAATAAATACTTACCATATAACTAATTTTTTAACACTACTTAATTTATTACTAAGACAAATGAACTAACACTAACAATGGTGTTGCCAAAATATATATATATGCCAAATGTATGTTGCCAAAATGTATATATGCCAAATATGGTGTTGCCAAAATATACATTTACATCTGACGCTGAATTCTAAAAATAGTGCCTTTTCAAAACTAAAGTTGTGGGTAACTGATTGAAATATTCAAACAATTTAAACATATGATATGTACTAATGTGCTACAACTTTTTTTTTCATAAGCCCATTTTTTACTTTATCGTAATATTAAAATTTGAGTACTAATGGGCTAAACGTTTTAAAACAAAAGTAAAAAGAGTAGTGCTAATATTTTCTACAATCAAACCAATTCGACTTTTTTTACTACATTCTGTTACCTTTCCCAAAGATGCTCGACTGTTTAAACAAAAAGATATTTTGCTGCAATTCGCTCGGGCAATTAAAGGATTTATTCTCGTCTAGTTTCAAAATTGGTTAAGAAAAAAAAGTTCAAAATATAACGCTGCTTAAGTGTAAAAACTATAAATCAATGTTTTCAAACTAACCACCATTCTCTGCAACAACGTGGTGCATTCAGCGGCATCTGTTGAGAAATGTGGTAACTGGTTTTGAAATTTAAAGAAATGGAAGCTTGTTTCCTGAGCAGAATATAACAAACAATTTTTTTAATCTGCTTTCGTTTTCTTTAATTTATTTTTCATATCGTAGATTATTTTAGGGACTTCTTGTAAATCATGGTTACACACTTAAATTTCAATCATCTTCCTGTAAAAGAGCTTACTGAATCGTATTTAATTTTACCAACTCAGTGTAATCGAAACAACAAGGCAATTTCAAATACTGAGTTAATGTTGAATTATTTAACAAATCAAT